TCGCTCCACACGCAGGTGCACGCGCTGGCCAATCGTGTCAAGACTGGTGCGGCTAAGATCGAGAAGGCGAAGGAGGCACAGGTGCGGGCTGTGTCGCAGCTTGAGCAGGCGCAGAAGCGGTCACGGACGCCAGCGCGCTGGTCGAGCAGTTGCAGAACCAGCAAGTCGAGTTGAAGGGCGAGCCGGGCAAATTGCAAAAGCAGCTCGGCAAGTCTGCTGAGGCGGCGGAAGGCTACGAGGTCACGTTGCCGTCTCTTGGCGTCTCGACGTCCGAGCTGGAGTCCATCGTCTCGAAGCTCACCGAGGGCGGCGGGCTCAACTCCGAGGCTCAGAAGCGGTTCGCGGAAGGGCTCGGTGGCCAGATCAACGAGCTTATCGTCGCCAAGAAGCCGAAGGTTGCTGCTGCTGGTGGTGGCGGCCCTGGTGCTGGCGGTCAGGCAGGTGGCGAGCTTCCTGGCGCGGGTCGCGCGTCTGATTCTAGACCCGTGTGGAAGCCCGACGACGTGGGCACGGAGGAGCTGCAGAAGCTCATGCAGCCTTTCGGTACGTGGGCAACTGAACCGAAACTGCGGGAGCGGGCTCGGCGTTTGGCGCAGGGTGGCTTCATGCCGTTCTAAATTGGTTGCGGTGCTCACTCTCAATATACTGTGGCCAGTCATGGGAAAAAAGGCACTATCACTACAATCAATGTCACTTCTTGGGGCTCGTTCTCAGGCTGTCTGGAGGCGCTACCGTCAGATACGCAGGTCATCGCGCTGCAGGAACATCATATTTGGGATAACGATCGCCTCGTCAGCTTTCAGCGCGAGGTTGCGGACTTCGGCTTCGAGGGCATCTGGGCTCCTGCCCTGGCTTCACCAACGTCGGAGGCAGGTACGGGTGAAGGTGTAGCAGTCTTGGCGCGTTCGTCGATAAGAGTTACTGCAACGCCGTTCGCTACGAGTGCTATCATCATTCCTGGACGTCTTGTTGGCGCTCACATCCTTTGGGGCGTCAAGGGCGGGCTGGCTGTGCTTTCTGGTCGGTTCAGTTGGACCCAACGACGAGAATAGGCGCATTCTGTTTCAACTGGCGCAATATTTATCGCTGTTGATTGCCGCTCGGATCGACTTCGCTGTATGCAGGGATTTCAATATGAAGATGGCTGGTCTCACGGACTCGAGTCTGGCGGATATCGACGTGCTCTTTGCAGCGCCAAGGGCAGCGACGTGTCGCCCTACGCAGATTGAGAAACATTCCGTCATCGACGATTACCTCATCGGCTCGAACCTTGCAAGTCGTGTTCGAGAACCTTGGGTACAGGAGGACGGCACTACTGCGCCTCACCTGCCAGTGCACATGGAGTTGGCGGCTGAGGACTTGGACATGAGGGCGAGGGGTCATGCCGAAGGGTATCGCTGCGTCGCCGCCGATTGGCTGCGCCAGAAGTGTGGAGGACTGGGCACCTGCGCTTGCGGCTTTCAGAACTGTCTCGGGTGTGCAGAATTTTCCTTCCGCCTGGGATAAGGTGCTCACCACAGTGGAGGACGAGCTGCTGGATCGGCACGACGTTGTCGGTCCAGGGCACAAGCAGTATCAAGGTCGTGCTGGTGGGGTCGTGACGGAGCTGAAGACGGTGAAGTGGGTGCCCCCTGATCGCCGCACTCGGCTTGGTCCTCTGGCGCTGGCGATGAAAGTTGCTGCTAAATGGGCCAATCACCTCATGGGCGCCAGGGCTTGCATCCAGAGGTCTCTCAACGAGCTGCACTTGTCAGGGTTGCTCCGCCCGCTTTCGCCCACCACTTTCAGGAAGCTGGCGCAGTTTATTCTGGAGGCAAATGTTTATCTGGATAAGATTCAGCGCGCGAGCTCTGTCTTGTCTCATGTGGAGCAGGGGTCAGAGATTTCTTTTGTGGCGGCATCGGTGTCTTGCCAGGGGCGACTTCGTGGAGGTTGCTTGCAAGATTGTCGAGTGCTGCCAGGCGCGTTTTGATAAGGCTGTTGCAGATAAGCAACAATCTTGGGTCAAATTTGCCAGAGACAGCTTTCAGCGAGGTGCCAGTCGAACGCGCAGGCTCACCAGGACTCAGGAGTTGCAGGAGGTCCTCTCTTCCTGGCAGGACCGTTCGAGCACTGCTTCACCGCGGCGTGTCTGTGAGCGCGGGATGGCTCCTTGGGCTAAGATCTGGAAGTGCCGTAGTCTAAGCCGGCTTGGGTTACCTGGAGATGCTCATTATTGGCCGCAGCTACCTGACATCACCATCGACATGGTTAAGACGGCGGTGGCTTCTTTTTCAGCCAGAACAGCTACTGGTCCAAGACGTATCGGGGTGCGTGCTTTGCTTTCGCTCTCCGACCAGGGCTTGCACACGCTCGCAGCTCTCGTTCAATGTTGTGAGGCTTGGTTTACGTGGACCGACGCCAGGATATGGCACGATATGGTCAGGCTGCCTAAGCCCAGTGGAAGCTGTCGGCTCATCACTCTCATGAATAGTTTCATAAGAGTCTGGGCTCGGATGATTCTTGTAGTCTTCCAAGAATTGGATCCGTCGGCACCCCAGTGCAGACATCTGGGGGCTTGGCGCTGACCGTACTTCCACGGACTCAGCCTTCCAGCTCAACTTAAAGACGGAGATTGCTGGGGCTGCCAATCTTCACGCGCTCGCTGCGATGATGGGCGCCTACAAGTTTTTCGAAACCATTCAGCCGCAGGCGCTCCCGAAGGAGGCTCGAGCCTTGGACGTGGACCTCAGGCTGGTATGGATGCTATTAGTTTGATATCGCCAACCTCGTCGGCTCCGAGCTGTCGGTTCAGTTTGCGAGTCTCTGATAGCTTTCCAGGGGGTCCTGGCAGGCTGTTCCCACGCATGTTTCTTGGTCTTAGTATTGTTGCACAGGCTGCTAGAGTCTATCAGGTCGCGCGTCTATTATCCCACGGGCGCTCATCGATGCCATCGGCATCCAGTGGATCGGCGATGCCCTCGGCCAGCTCCGGAGCTTCTGGGCCGCGGCCACGCGCTTCCGACAGGGTGCAAAGGAGCTGGGCATCATCATGCAGGTGGATAAGTCAGGATGCACCCCCTCGTCGTCGAAGGTGGCCGCTGCGTGCGAGAAGCATGGGAACGCTAAAGGTTAGACTTGTCGGAGCTGGATTCGCAGTCTTGGGCGTGACATGCGTGGCAAAAAGAATTCCAGAAAACTTGCGAGTCAACGGGTCGCTGGCTTTATTGCACGTCGGCGGCGGCTCAAGATGTTCCAGAAAGCAACGGGCAACGGGGTCATCTGCTTATGGGAGACGGGGCTGCTTCCATGTGCTGGGCATGGTGCTGGTGTTGCTGGCCTCAGTGAGCATCATCTCAGTCAGGTACGCGCAGAAGCTGGACGTCTTGTGGGATCGAGGCCAGGCTCTTCTAGTCTCACGCTTTATCTAGCAACGCAGCGCTCTAAAGAGTTTGACCTCATCTACATGGCCACCTGCGACCTGGTCTGCCGATATGCGGCAGCAGCATGGGAAAGTCGAGCCCCCCTCAGTCAGCTTCATCACGCGTGGACAGCTATCACTACTAAGATGATCGGCGAGGGCAAGACTTCTTGGAGGGAAGCGAGGGGGCCATATCTTCTACGATTCTGTCTGTTTGGCGAATTGATTGGTTCATGTGTTCGTCCACGGTTTTGGCCAATGATCGCGAGGGGCACTTCAACCTTTCGGCTATCAGTCCGAAGGATTTGCGATGTCATCTGGCCGAGTCAATTGAGAGGTGGCAAGGCAAGCGTATTCTCTCTCGGTTCGAGCACCCCAACGGCGACCGCGTGCAGTTATGGGTTCGAGCAATGAGGGTGTGCATTGGTGCGAAAGGTGCTGCGGTCAGCGAAAGGCCGCCGGCGTGAAATTCACGGGCTCGCTGGTCAGGTGTGCCGTGGGCGAGGCATGCCAAGTATGCCTTCCAGCTTGTCAAGTGGCCAGTCTGTCTGGCATGCGGGCATGCCAATGGCACCTCTGGTCGCAGGTTCTTCGGTTGCGAGCCCGTTCTCGAACCCGAGGACGACGCTGAGGAGGCAGGCAATGTGCTTCCTGAGAGGTTCGCTGACTTCTACGCTGACATGAGGGACAGGGGTACGCAGCAGCTTTTTGGCCCGAATTGGGACACGTTTGAGCTGGGGGTGCAGGGGAGCTCAGAATCGAATCGACAAGTCGGATCGGCGATCGAAATAAATCGGATCGGCAGAAATCGGCAGACGAGTCGGGAAAAGTCGAATCGGCGGAAATCGGCAGGCTAGTATGCGTCCAATAAGGTATCGGAGCCCAAATCGGAATCCGAAATCGAATCGAATCGGAATCGGAATCCATCGGAGTCGAATCGAATCGAATCGGAGGATTCGAAACGAGCCCTGGGGGTGTGCCTGCCCTGCATGCTGCCTACACTTCCTAAGGTGGCTGGCGGACTCCCAGTGGCGCCACGTGGGGCGACGGGGCCACGCCCGTGGCACTCTTGGGGGATGCTGTCTTCACGGGCGGCTCAGGCCCGGTCCTCCTCCTCCTCCTCCTTCTCCTCCTCCTCCTCCTCCTTCTCCTCCTCCTCCTCCTCCTCCTCCTCCTCCTCCTCCTCCTCCTCCTCCTCCTCCTCCTCCTCCTCCTCCTCCCCCTCCTCCCCCTCCTCCCTCCGAGGCAAGGCATCCCGATTCGAGCAGCGTTCGGTCCGTTACCTGGGCCGCTGCAAACGGTCGGAAGATCCGAACGGCACGCGCTCCTGATGGCGACGAAGCTCTTCGGGCCCAACCTGCAATATGTGTTCACGGACTTGCTGGCGCTGGAGTCGGAGGCGTCATCTTGGGCCCCTGAGCGAGTCTGCCTCGGCGGTCCACGCTACGTCGCAGCCGGTTAGACCGAACGTGCTCTGGATCCCTGCTCACGCGGACGTGGGCGACTACCCTGACAGAGGCCTCAGCCCGCTGCTCTACCAGGGCAATATGTAGGCTGATTGTTTGCTCGACGAGGTGCTGACTCACATTCGGCGCCGAAG